GGGCGGGGCCTCAGATTCACCGATCTTACTCCGCCTCGCCGTCGCCGCCGGGACCCCGGTAGAGGGCTCTCGGACGATTGGCCACGCCCGCCTCGCGCCGAGGCCGGGCAAATCCCGCAACCTCGTCGCCTCCGCCTCAAAAGTCTCTCGGTAGGCTATCGCATCCGACATCGCGCTCGGCTACACCCGCCACGTAAGCCACGATCGGCGGTCTTGGCCGCAACAGGAGCGACGGGACAACGGTCGATCACCTTTTCTACCATCCCTCATCGACAAATATAGGTACCAGATCCCGAGGCGCATCGTCTCGCACTATTACGCTTCGATAGCTGCTGAGACCCGATCTCGCACTGGGTCACTTTCAGCCTCTAAGACGGCAAGCCTCAAAGACAACAGCCTCGGCACGACAGGCCTCGCACGACCGGCCACGATGGCGCCGAGCCTCAGTAATCCACCAAGTCAACAAATGCACAAAGATGTTACTTGTAAAGTGGAGACCATACCGATTAGACATCTACGGAACTCCCACGACAATGCCATGTTGCTCCGGAGTAACACGTCATCGAATAGTCCTTGCTCCACGTGTAGCTCTCTTTATGTACTCTGGTTTCCTCCTGCGGCTATAAAAGGAGGCAGCCGGGACCGTTTCTCGTAGGACGACGGAGAGAATCACGAATACTGCATACGAACAACACGCCTCATTCTGTAATTCATATCACCTCCCCTCACAGAGACCTAGGACGAACTCCCTCTCTCGCCTAGCTTGTAACCCCTACTACGAGCACCCCGGTGCAAGGAATACAAGAACATCTTCTCGATCGGACGTAGGGCATCCATTGCCCGAACCAAGATAAACCTTGTGTCTCTTTGCATCTCCATCCGGAATTGGGAGCACGCAGCACAAATTCACTAGTCGGTTAAGGACCCCCGGTTCCGAAACACCGACAACGTGTTAACAAGATTGCCATCACCCATCAGTATTCAGCTCTCTTTACTTTATAGCATTTTCTTTCACGTAAATCTAGTTTTGTATAGGTTGTGCTAATTTGGTTTGAACGATCAATGTTTTTTTCTTATGAAAGGACATGTTTTTCGCTATTTCAGGCCTTTGCCATGACATTTACGTGGCATGCGTGAGGCGCAACGAAAAGGTGGGTTAGTAATAAAGGTGTAGACAAAGCTTGAGATCATCATCCTGTAAATTCAACTACCCCCAAATGCAAAACTATTTATGGTGACAACTCAAAGCCTCTAAGAACCCCTCCACGTGCATTGCACGGTATTGGCTTGCACTTGAATGCCCTTGCAATACCTAAAGAGAAAATAGATATTAGGTCTACTATAAATGAATTGAGTAACTTGATAGGTCCTTACGGATCTTCTCCAAAGACCTTCCGAGCAAATCATTATAAATGATGATTTCAATCAAACAACCCGATGTTGCAACCGCCAAGAAGCTTCTAGTCAGGTAGTCCCAAGAAGAAAAGGTACTATGTCTTTGGCTATTATTTTAGGTCAAATAGCACTATTTCATTGGAAAAATCATGAAATGCAATAGTATTTTCCAGTGAAGTTTGATAATGGTGATGGCACTTCATGTAAGCGTTATAGTTGTAAGAAGTCAAATGCCCAAAGCGTAAGTTTGAATATTTGGTTCATTTTAGGTATCATTGTATGAAAAAGGTGTGTTGTTTATGACTTATGAGTAACTGGTTAGGATTAAATGATTAATCATTTATCCATTCATGTTTTTCCTTGACTAAGATGTATAGCCATGTAGGTGTGTCCGCCACTATATTGTTTTAAGTGCTTTTCAGGTTTTGGGCGAGTAATGTTAAATAACAAGTATAATAGTCTTCTAGTCACAAGCAAGTTGAGGTAGGCTAGCAACAACATTCAGTTAATAGTTCTATCAATCCTAATCAAGTTGTTGCGAGGTGTTCAAGTTTCGATTTACTGATCATCTCTATACCGGTTACCTTGTTTATTCATGTATTCATGAATAACACTATTATGCTCATTAGCGTTCATCATGGATTCTATTCTTGGTTCGTTTAGTCCCTTTATCACGGATAATAATGACTTAGTTGTGATATTTATTTTCAGTAAATATATTTCCTTATTTGAGATTGATTGTTTATAGGACAAGTCACATAATTCCTACAAAAAACAATGGCATCTTACCTTATTTAATAAAAAAGTCCCGGTCGTTAAAATCCATGCCATGCTAATTTCTTTTGGCTAGTTGTTCTAGATTTATCCCTCCTAAATGATGCACTCCTTCACTTGCCATTCTACTTGAAGTCATTGCCATCCGTCGACCTCTCTAATGGATATTCACCCTTTTCCGAACTAGGTTCAAAACATTGATCCTTTTCAAGAGTTACCCATATTCTTTCCATGCTATTCCTTTCAAATTCCGTCTTCAAACCGATATTTTGTCGGTGCGAGTGTCGACCCTTCTCTAATGAATGTTTACCCTTTCTGAATTAGTTTCAATCCTCGACTCTTTTGAAGGAGAAAGGATTTGTGTTACATTCTCGCAAACCTGTCTTTACAATCGATAGATTGTCCGGTTTTACATTATATGATAATTTTTTGCTTAATGTCATGCGATTCATTGTGAGTGTTTTGTCTGCTTTGGAGTCTATTGTTTCGAGCCTTGTTCATGTATCAATTTGTCTCGAACAACAGAGAGTCATCTGAAGCAGTTCTATCTACACGACATGATTGAATCTCGCAATCCATTAGCATTTGCTCCAAAAGTAATTCATACATCCGAGCACAGTGCGGAATTAGGGGTAAGAGACACTTGAGCACTTCCTTTAGTCTTGTCTGCATTGATAATATCATTATCTTCAATATTGTAGGACTTCTCCAATAAAACTCCTGCTTCATTTCGTCACAAAAGAGGATGCAATTGCAAGAAGTCGTCGTGTCTAAAAAAATATTGTGAATGTTTTTGAGGTTTCAACTCCTACATTGATTTAGTGCTCTCTTTTTTCTTCCTAATCCCTTTGTATGCATCTTATCTTTACTCTTCATCAAGGGTGGCATGGGATGCTCCATAAGTTTGTAGGTTTCAACTCCTATATTTCAGTTTTGGTTACCTTAAAGCACATCATTTATTGATACTTGATTATACTAGCCTTACTTTATTTTACTTTCTTTGTTGGACTTGGAATGTTCTCCCATGCATGCCTTTCATCATTAGTTTTTTTTGGTAAAATATGTTTGCGTAAAGATATATCCTCATGCAAAGATAGGTAGCTAAACATTTAGACAACCAGATATTGGACAGGTCAGTAGAGAATTTGTATGTCTTTTCAGAGAATGCTCGTGTGATGGTCTTGACTGCAACATAGCCATTCAAATTTCAAGCATGTGATTTCGGGAACACCTATGCACTCATTCACTGCAACATTTAAATAGTAGTGGCGCATTCAAATATTGGTGGTACAGGAAGGCCATCATAGCTGCAAGGTATTGTTGAAACTTACTTGGAGAGTTCAACTTATATGTGATATAACAGTGTGAATTGCATGGCACAAATTTAAAGCATAGAGCATATTGCGCTGATAGTTCAACTTTTTTTTCATGTTAGGTACTTTAGCTATGAGGTGTTGCAAGTATTTTGGGTTGGCATACCTTTTGTGGAACAAGCAAGCAACTGCTCCAAGTGTTTTGGAGTGGCAGCCCTTCCAGCCATAACCATTTAGCTCAAAGACCGATAGCTAATGCATCAGTCCATAGCATAGTGTTGCTCAACACTTCTGCTTTTGATTTGAATAATTACACTACAGCTTGTAATAATTTAGTATAAGTCTATGTTTGCGAATAACTCATCTATATTTTGGACATGTATTTGGCTATATGCATGTGGCCAGTATGTATAGAAGATTTAATATGGAAGATCTAATATATTATTTATACAAAAATCAAGTGAATTTGTTCAATGTGATGCCTTCTATATGAGCAAAAGTAGATTTGTCAAATTATTTTAATTGTAATTATATCTATGCAGTTTTGCCGACAGTTTTTTTTTGTAGGGTATGGTTTGCAAAATACCTTGGAAATGGTTTGGCCAACATACGAACTGTCGGGAAAGGTCTTAACTGTCGGCGTAGGTCTTAACTGTGGGCAAAGGGTTAACTGTCGGCAAAGGTTTCAACTGTCGTCGTAGGTAGACCGTTTGCCTACACATAAAGTGTCGGGGATTCTGTTAACTGTCGGCAAAAGTTTCGTCGACGGCTTCTAGCGTGACTGTTTCTAAATTATCGACAAAACTTTTCGCGGGAGGTTATCTGTCGGCAAATGTGTCATTTGCCTACAATAGAAAGTGTCGGCAAAAATATGTTGTGTTATAGTGTTTGATTTGTGCTATTTTAGCATATGAATTCCTTTCATGTATGGCTCTTTTCAATTTTCTCTTCCTCAACTACAATATCAGTCAAGACAAACTCAGAGAAACAAATTTCATCTGACAAGGTTTTATTGTGTAACAGTAATGCAGCTTTGCTAAATAATATTTCTCATGTTCTAAATTATAAGACGTTTTAGTTTCTTTAATACATAATTTTTCTATGAACTTAGATATACATTATTATATCTAAAACTACAATTTTAGTCAAGAAAATTTAGAGAAACAAATTCCATCTAACAAGGTCTTATTGTGTCACATTAACGTGGCCTTGCTAAATGCATGGCCACACGAACGTGAGGACATGTGATGTCATTATGACGTCACAGTGACTCGCTTCCGTACAAAATAAACATCAATTGATTGTCTCGTTCGATCGATGGTAGGCATATATCTCGTTATAAAATATATTTTTATAATAAATTTTATAGGAATATAAATATTTATACTATTTTTCATACATTTATAGTCAAACAAAAGCTATAAACTAGTTTGAGTTGGCATATCTAGTGGTTGCATCTTGTTTGTAGCCGCCACTCGTAGGAAGCCCTCGTCAGTCGTCTGTCCTCCCTCACACACCATGTCGGCGGCGGCGGGAGGAGAGGGGGAGACGGTGCGGGCGTCGCACGTCCTCATCAAGCACCAGGGTTCCCGCCGCAAGGCCTCCTGGAAGGACCCCGACGGCCGTATCATCTCCGCCACCACGCGCGCCGACGCCGCCGCGCGCCTCCTTGACCTCCGCAACCAGATCCTCTCCGGCCAGGCCAACTTCGCCGACCTCGCCGCGCGCCACTCCGACTGCTCCTCCGCGCGACGCGGCGGGGACCTAGGTACGTACGATCTATCCCTTCCCTTCCCCCCGCTCTCTTTCAGTTTTTTTTTTCGCGCTTGTCGTGCGCCGCCGAGATAGATCTGGTGGCTACCATGGATACTAGCTGCTTCGCGGTATAGATCTGTTGGTTTTATGTGAGGCTAAAATTCGATAGATGCATGTCGGTTGCTGTTGTTGGATCAGTAAAGCTGTGTGATGTGTTAACTGATTGCAGGGAAAAAAAAAGACGTGCTTCAATTCAAAGCCTTTTGAAATTCGGTAGGTAGGTACAAAACATTAGTGTGGATATTATGGTGCAAACTGAGATTGTGGAAATTATTTGGACATTTCTAGTCTAACAAGTTTATAGGTTGGTTCCACAACTGAGAATGTTGGAGATTCAACTGCACATTTGGGTGTTTAAACTGCACATGGTGATGATGCTGAGACCGGAAACATATTATATGTATTATTACTACTTGGTTCTCGGTAATGAAAACCAGGGGAGGACCCTTTTGTCTTTAAAAAAAGTAGAAAACACAGTTATTTGATTTTTGAAGTCATGTAATTTGGGCATTAGTAATGTCAGCAGTCTGATTAACTTTTCAATTCACTGAACTTAGCATGCACTGATCCGAGTAATTAAAGCATAAATAATGAGATGGACTTACACTGTTTATGATCATTTGCCGATAAACTGACAATGCATGGAGGTAAAAACTTGTGGTTGTGTGTCCTGCATGGATCAATATCTTTCTGATAGTGCTAGTGTGGAGTAGCTATTGCCTATCATAGGTTCCTGTTCAATAAAAATTATGAAAGAAGTATAAAGAATCAAATGAAGTGCTACTTTTGTAGCATAATTTGAGTTTTCATGGGACTACATTTTTTCTGTAAGCACTAAGCAATTTTTACTATCTCAAAAATTGTCACTTATCATTTCCTGATCACGTTGCCTTCTGGCCATGGTCTGTCTAGCATAAAAGATTTGTCCATTCTCGTGCTACCTAACTTTGAGGCGATTTATTTGCAAGAGTGGGTTCAACCTTGTGGAGAGCAGAAGTTTGAGTAGCTTTTGGAAGATATGTTCATGTGATTCAAGGCAGCTCTGTACCGGGCCATGTTTTTGAGATCATTAGTTAGGGCTAAACGAAGTGAGTTTGATAATAATATGTCTAATCATCTTGAAGCGCTTAAAAGCTTCCCAATTTTTTGGTTACTTTAAATCCAAAGTCATTAGAGTTGGTTGGTACATCATTAGTTGTTATAATTCTTTCATATTATCAGTTTCAATATCTTTTGTGTGTGTATCCTGTGTATTTGCTTGTGCATTTTTTGCATCATTATTCTTTTGTCATTGTGATGTTCCACAGTGCAAGTTCATGTTGCTACACCTTTCAGCTGCTGTAATATATGTTTTATATATGTCATGTCACATGGACATCTCGTTTTCTTCATTAAATTACACACTATGAGTGATAGCATGTGGCATTCCCTTCCATACTCCTGTGCACTTTCGTTTGAAGAGTTTGTTGGTTAATATCAGATGATTCCTTAGAGTTTGGAGTAATACAACTAATAATTATGTAATGGCTAATGAGAATCAGAGATTAGTTGATATGTAACAACTCTTAAGATTGAAAGTGTGTGAAGGTAAAATTCTTGTTTTGACTTACAAGAATAAGAAATTGGGTCAAGCTAATTCACAAGTTCACCATGAGAATGGTAGTTCAAATGCAGATGTGCTGTGTGGAATGATGATATCGGTGTGCATCTCTTGTGTTTGTTGTTATTAAGACAGAGAAAAGCACATGTTTGTTGGGTACAGGGGTTTTGCAGGGGAAGAAAAATATCAATTGGATATATAGGGCGTGTTTAGTTGGGGGGAAAGTTGGAATTTGGCTAGTGTAGCACTTTCGTTTTTATTTGGCAATTAGTGTTCAATCATGGACTAATTAGGCTCAAAACGTTCGTCTCGTGATTTCCAACAAAACTGTGCAATTAGTTTTTTTTTCGTCTACATTTAATGCTCCATGCATGTATCGCAAGATTCGATGTGATGGCTACTGTAGCACTTTTTGGGAAGTTTTTTTTGGAACTAAACACGGGCATACATTAAACCATACAGTAGTAGCTCTGTTGGCATGCAATCATTGTTATTTAATCAGCTTGCGTTCCGTCAGCCCTGATTCAAGATGTCATGTTTTCCAACCATGATGTTTTGAGCACAGGTACCTTTGGGAGGAAGCAGATGCAGAAACCATTTGAGGATGCCACATATGCCCTCAAGGTTGGTGAGCTCAGCGAGATCGTGGACACTGACAGTGGGGTTCACATCATCCTGCGGACTGCCTGAGGAGAGGATCACGCTGTCAGCTGAGTCCTCAGGCTTTCAGTTAGCGCTTATGGCTTTCTATTAGGACCTGTATTTTTATTCCTGCTGGGAGAGCCTGAGTTACATTCCGGGCAGAGATAAATCATGTGTGACAACACGTTTCCAACAGCATTTGTGCTTAACCTGTGTATTGATGATGATGCCTTGAGCTCCTGAATGCCTTTTTTTTTTCTGGCGACAGTCTATTTGTCTGCTTCTGATTATAACTCTTGGCCTCGATGTTTGTTCCTTTGTGTCTCATGGATTCTTTATCAAACAAATAAAAGTGAATCACATTAGATGTTACCTAACAGCTGATCCTGTGTAGAAAACTAAACTGTAGATAGGATGTTAAGATTTTATGAAATGTATGTGTGATTTCAGCTCATGCTTTGATGCTCACCAATTTTATCGATCTTGATCGGGTTAGCCAATTTTGCACTTCATGGAAATGTTGGTTTTTGCAACCACTTGGGTAAGGTTTTATGAGTTATGACCAAACAAAAGTTGTTGATGAGGGGGGGGGGCGTTGAACATATAGGCTTTTAGTAGTTTCAGGCGCTTGTATATTCTATCTATGTGGAAGCTTCACTCGTCAATATGAAATATTTTGTAAGTCTCATACCGGTCACTACTTGTACGTAATAATATATATGATGTGGTTGCAAGTTTATTCAGGTTAAAGTTAATAGTAAGGCACCTGTGATTACAAGCTCAGGTTATGAATTCATACAATACTTTTTCGTATTAACTTTCTTGAAAAAGGGTTATCATTCATATATAAACTTGGAACTTTATTTTTGTAACCACAAGTACACACACACCTTTATTTCTTTGAGACCACAAGTACACAAACAGACTTGCACATACACTACTTACAGGTAAATTAACTATATGATTGTTATGCATTGCGTTGTGGTCTTCTCATATGTAGACAGATATTATGTATCGGATTTATATATGGTGTTTTTAATTTGAAGCAAGTTTGGATAACCTAACGCTGGTGGCGAGGTAGCGGGGGGCCAGGGTTGATGCAATTGTTCATGTTCATGTTCATGTTCATGTTGGGTCTCTGAGGGTGAGTTCAGAGCGAGGGCACCACACTAGAGTGGGTTAGGTGTCAGAGGGGAGGACCAAGGCAATGGTGAAGAGACGGCTGCTCCGCGAGAGTGGTTAGGTACCGTAGGTGAGGACCAAGGCAATGGCGAAGGGATGGCTGCTCCACGAGAGGAGGTAGAGCGGAAAGTATTGTTGGTGCCATGAGTAACCTCGGCGTCGGCCGGCGGGTGGGGAGAAGTGGCGGTGGAAGGATGAGCCGAGTAGGAGGAGCAAGGGGAGGAAGGCGATAGCGGTGACGAGGAGGAGGAGCTGCGGGAGGAAAACGGGGAAGCATCCAGGCGGTGAGAGGGTGCAGCAACTGGACTGCTCGCTGCCCGCTGCTGTTCCTTTGTTCTCGGGCTGATGACGGACATGAACTCATCATTCTTCCCTGCTGGGCTGATGGTGGATCGAGGAGCGGCGGACGTCGTTCTTGGACCGGCGGTGGTGGTAGGGGCACCGACGAAGATGATCTGAGTATGGGGGCCCATATAGACATGAGTTGGGCCCGCCTGGCCCAGCCCGTTGCTCCCTCCGTTCCTCGGAGCCGGAGCCGGAGTCGGCGTCGGCGTCGGCGGCCGGTACGCATCCGGTTTCGCCGGGGGATGCGACGCCTGCTGCGGCATGCCCACCGGGTAGGCCATGACGACGGGTGACTTCTTCTGAGCCGCCTCGTCGTGCTCGGCGGCGACACGGCCGGCCGGACGAGCTGGCGCCGGGTACGCAACGGCAGAGGACTGATGATGTGACGGCTGCCGTGGCACGCCCACAGGCGCATAGGCGGCCTCGAAGCTGACGGCCGGCTTGTCCGTGGCCCGCTCCACCACCGGGGCCACGACGGGGCCGAGGCGGTAGGACACGTTGAGCACGCCGCGGGGCTCCCACCGGTGGAGCTTCCGGACCTGGTACGACGCGACCTGCGGTGGCTGGGGGCCGACGCCGGTCGCGCCGGCGAGGACGTCGGACAGCGGGACGACGACCTCGCCCACGTCGCGGTCGCCGAGGAACCGCTCGGTGCGGAGCAGCACGTGGAGCGACGCGCCGGCCGCCGTCGGGGGGACCGCGAACCGGAACGTCGCGTGCCAGCACGGGTTCCGCCCGCCGTAGGTGTCCGGCGCCGTGCACTGCCGTGTTAGTGGGTCGCCCGAGATGCTCACCACGGCGTACACGTGCATGCGCGTGATCAGGTTCACGCTCTTCAGCTCCTGCGCTGACAGGAGGGTCAGCTCCAACTCCCGGTACGCCATGCTTATTAGCTCCTGCCTGATCTCTACCTATCAGTACGTAGTAGAAATTGATTGGCCTCGATTCAACCTTATTGCTATGATATGACTGATCTCTCTTTCAGTTTCAGTACATATGCAGATGCAACAAGATTAGCCAGCTGATCTCTATATATAGGAGGTCAGGTAGTGGCTTCAACTCGAAGCACGATAAGATCCCAATGCTTATTATATGCTTAAGGGCCGGTTTGCAGTTGTTGCTGATGGAATCTGATTAGTTTTATGATGAAAATAAATAAGACCTTTGGTCACCAAGAAGTGACATTTTGAGTAGGGTGCAGCCAGAATGTTTGAGCTTCGAGCATTAATTCCTCTTTGAATTTTGAGATTCATCGATCCTTTCGAATGGTTTTCAAAACAATATTCAGTTGCTACTTTTTACAATTATGTTATGTACTAGATAGATTTAATTCTGAGACCTTGTAGATGTCCAAAATGTATCTTTTTGTTGCGACCGGAGGGAGTAACCTTTTTAGGTTTTGGTGTTACTTTTTCAAAAAACTAAGACTCTCTCTTTTGTTCACTACAACTACAGATTAGTAATAAATAAGAGCTGTCACAATATCTTACAAAGCATGGGAACCACAACTCTTTGGCATGTTTGGAAGAGGGTAATTGCCCCCAAAAATTAAGAACATTGGAGTGGTGGGTGGGTGGGTGGGGGGGGTCCCCTATGAATAATGGGTTGATCTGAAACATCCCATGACAATATACACAGCCTCAGTGTCATACCTAACAGCACTAGGTAGATCCTTGACCTGAGAATCGAAACAGCTTGCGGTTCAATAATTCTGCAGCTAGCTTACAGGAGCATCTGGTCTATTGCAAGAACAATGCCCTTCATGGATTCTGCTATGTGACGATGCGGTCCAGCTTACTTGGTACACGAGGCCATATCTTTGGGTTTGCTTTATGTATATGTTCCCTTTTTATTCCTCAGTTTACTCACATCTCTCTTGTGGCTGCAGGGTTCTGAGTTCTTGATAAGTACCATTTGTCTGAAACAGCTTTAGAGCTTAACCTTTTGATACCTCCCTTTGATTGAGATCATTTTCCTAGGAATAATTTTTCTGGGAATATTATTAAGATTCCCACTAATCTTTGATATCCTGTAAACCAAACGCTCCGTAACAGATGTTTCTTGAGGCTATTGAATTCTGGTCTTGCGCGCGCAAGCAGTCCTGATGCTCAATGCTTGATGGATCAGAACACTTATGGAATCTTGCTTGCTTGATCGATCTCAAGGTAACTTATGGAATTGATTCTTCTAATTTTCGCACTTTATTAATTTGTTGGACGGATCGTTATCCAACTGCACCGGGCGCTTATTGATATCCTGCCATGTCCTGGTCCTACATGTTGAAGTTACTTCGTGATCATCCTGGTTCCTAGAAAATTATGCTTAAGGCAATGAATCTCATCATAGTACCTAGCAAGGGCCGCTTGCATCTGATATACAATTCTTAGTTATAAAACAGTGAACTACTTACGCTGTTTGAGCCAGAAGGCGGTGCTAGGCTCTTCCAAACAAGAACCTGTTTCTTGATTCTTGGTGGAGCAGAGTGATAGATAGGAATAACAAACAAAATATCTTCAGACTGCAGAGAAACATACGTTCAAAAAAAGACTGCAGAGAAACACGCTTCATTTGCTCATCCGTAGACTCGTGTAATCTGGGCATCGGTTTGCAGCTGTCTGATTAGCTTTTTTCGTATGACGATGTGTAGTAACTGTTGATCAACACATGCCAAGATCAGGGTCCATCATAGAATTTGTTCAAAAAATCAGCGGGATAATGCTTTGAGTTAAATGCACTCTAGGTCCACAAACTTGTTTTGGGGTGCCAGATAGGTCCATAAACTTGGAAAATACATTTGTGGCATAGTAATCTTGAGTTTCGGTTCACTCTAGGTCCATGTTGCCAAATAAGCAGGTTTATGCTGATGTGGCGTGTCCAGGGTGGACTGAGCCTCCAGCTATGTCACGTGAGCGGCGCGTGATGCACCCAGCCAGCCCGCATCCTCTTTGCCAATATGCAGAAAGCCCCCGCCGCATCCTCCTTCGCTCTCTCTCAGTCACTGTCTCTCTCTCGGGCTCCCATGCTCCCCTCATTCTCTCTGCCCTTGCCTGCACCCTCCACTTTGTCGATCTCCTCCATGGAGCACAAGTGGATCGGCTCGGTCCCGAATCGGCGCAACCTTGACCTCCCTCTCATCATATGCTCGGATTGCAGCCGGCGGAGGGTGGTGCGGCGGGTTTCAACGCAGGAGCACAGCCGAGGGCAAGTTTTTTACTGTTGCCCCTTCTATAAGGTAAGTTAGGGTTTGGAAAGTTTGATTCTTGGTTGCCTGTGAGCTGCATCTCGATCTTGATTTCATTTTGGCTGCAGAGTAATTCGGGTTGTCCTTTTTTCTACTGGGAAGATGAGTATGAGGAGCATCTGAAGGTGCTAGCCAGGGAAGTACTGTTGGCTCCATTGTTGGCAAGTGATGGAGAGCACAGCACTGGAGTTCCCAAAGTGGAGGCAGTAGCTTCTGAGATGAAGGATATTGGGCTGGTAGCACCTAGGGAAGAACCAATGGTGAAGGAGTCAGGAGTGTTAGCAGTAGCACCTAGGGAAGAATTGCTTGTGACATTGAAAGCTCTGTGTTTTGTGTGTGTTTGTATGCTAGTAGTTCAGGTGCTGATCTTGTTAGTGTTGTTAGTGAAGTGAATGGCACCATGTAGTGTTAGTATTGTTAGTGTAGTCAATGACATCATGTAAATTGTTAGTCTGTACTTTTGTTAACCATAATGATGCAATGGAATGGCAGATAGTATCATGCCATTGATCTTGAAATATTTGACACAAATTGTGAACCCAGTAATCTTTGAGGCTGACAGAAATATTTGACAGGCAATGTGAACCCAGGCAAAATTTTAACAGAAATTGTGGACACAGGAAATATTTGACACCAACTGAACTTGACATTGCATTGAAAAAGTTCACAAGCAGCATTCATGGCAACCAAGTCACCAACAGTAGCACTTTCATCTTACAGAACCAAAAGCATGTCATCTGTGCGTAACTGGTATCATCACCGGTCTATCAAAAGCATCTATCACCACCTGTGTGTAGTGGTGCCACCACCACTAAGTTACTCTAGTAATCTGACTTCCACTAAGTTACTCTAGTACCAAAATGATATCAGCATCCAAGTGTTACATCACATTGTTTTGGGTGCTACATCACATATTTACAGACAACAACTGGATCAAGCCACACACAAGTTTTTTCTGTTGGAGTAGTCTTCTTCCCTGGCTTCTTTGCAACCTGAGGTTTCTCCTTGGGATTTGTAGGCACCTTGCGCTTTCCTACTGCGGCTCTTCCTTTCTTGGTAGCAGTAGATGGTGCTACAGGTCTTGCAGCAGGCAGGTTTGACATGATGAAGGTTGAGTCAGGCAGAGGTTGAGGTTGGATGCTTGATGTTGCAACCTGTGTGTACTAGTACAATTCTATAGTCAGGTTGTGAAATGCAAAGAAAAATAGTAACAGTCATGATGTTCTGTACATACCTCTTAGTCCAGATGTGAAATCATTCTCTATTACCTCTACACTTCCTTCTGTAATCTGAGACCATGGTGGCTGACTCCCATCTACAAAATGGTACACAGTCTGCAACAGAATAATGTCAGTGAAATGAGACAAATTTGTTGCATGGTAGTGAAATGAGACAAATTTGTAGCACTGCAAGTACCTGAGCCCTTGCATAATCATACATGTCTTCTTCATGCATATTACTTGGCATTGCTTCCCCTTGATCTGACTGTCTTATTTCTTCATCTTCAGCATTGGTCTCTGGCTGTTTTTTGGGCATCAGTCCTGCTTTCCTAAGCTGGCAACCCTTCTTATTGTGGCCTTTGTCTCCACAGTAGTTGCATGTCATAGGCACTCCATGTTTTGACAGTTTACTTCATGTAGCAGTTTCTATTTCTGTTGATAGTTTCCTTCTATTCTTTGAAGGCCTACCCACCTTTTTCTCATACTTGGGAGGTAGAACCTTGGGTGCAGATACCTTCTCCTAGGTGGTCTTATCACTACATGACATGATCTTAGGACCATATGCTACAAGGAACCTTGTAGAACTGTAACAGTCATGGACCATTGATTCTGTAGGAATTCTTTCATGCCTAAGACATGAGATGGCATGGGAGCAAGGTATTCCAGTGAGATCCCATCTCCTGCACTCATATTTCTTGAGTCCTATATCAACTATGTAACTATGGTCCCTATCTTGAACCTGAAAGATTCCTTTACCAGAAGGGATGGCATAACATGTGTTTGCCCACTTAGAAATCTTATTGACCTTTTTCCTTATTTTGGGACATATTGGACCCTGCCACATATCTCCATGTTCTTTCTCCTTGGAGTAGTGCCTTGCCATCAATTGATTCTTAATTTGCTCTATCATACTCAACACAGGCATTTCTCTAGCATCTAGGATGAATTTGTTGAAAACCTCACAACTGTTATTCAATAGGATGTCACACTTGCTGTAAGTACTAAAAAAAGATCTAGACCATGTGTTAGGGGGCATTTTCTCAACCCACTTATAAGCCTTCTCATCTAGCACCCTAAGTTTATCCATGTTTTTTGTCCACTGAACTACAGTACTAGATCTTGCACATGCCCAGAGTTGTTTTTTCAAGTTCTCACCTTTGAAGTGCTGTTGGAAGTTGGAGTACATGTGTCTAACACAAAATCTGTGCTCAGACTCTGGAAATACTTTATCCACAGCTTTAATTAGGCCCTGCAAAATTCAAGTACACATATTGTCATAAGTATACAACAATCACACACAGTTGTCATAAGTTCACAGATTTAACATAACTTGGACTATAATAAATGAAAGATTCCTTACCTTCTGCTTGTCAGTCATTAGTGTCCAGGGGTATGTGTTCTCAATCCCTAAATCCTGCTTCAGTGTTGTCAAGAACCATCTTCAAGAATCTAAACATTCCACCTCAACTACACTAAAAGCAATAGGGAAGATGCAATCATTAGGATCAATTCCAACTGCAGTAAGCATTATACCACCATACTTAGTCTTCAAATGGCACCCATCCAAACAAATAAGAGGTCTGCATCCTCTAAGAAATCCCCTTTTGCAAGCACCCAGAGACACATACAGTGACTTGAATATGTTGCCATCTAGGTTAAGGTAGAAGATGCTGTAAAGATTGGTCTTCCTCAACTCATGTGCATAATCCCAAAGCATGTTATATTGTTCCTCTTCATCTCCCAGCACCTTTTTCATAGCCAACCTTCTAGCTCTAGCAAGCTTGGTCCTTGATGGAGTAAGATTCCACTCCTTCTGCACTGTCCTAGAAAAGTTGGACAGTGACATTTTTTGGTCTGCTCTGAATGTCTCAATGTATTTCTCAGCAAGCCAAGTAGATGTGCAACTCTTCAAAACCCATTGCTTGTGGCAACTGTGTTTCCCAGTATAAGTCTTGATCATCATGCCATTAGCCCTCTTATCATATGATGCATAAAGGAACCAAGGACATCCTTCTGAACAGTTAGCATGAAGCCTTTTTTGTTCATTCCTAGGCATCTTGATATCCACTCTGTTCCTAAGACTGTATTCAGTTATAGCCTTCCTTAGCATCTCAACAGTGTCAAACATCATACCCACCTTAAACACTGGGTGGGCCATGTCCTCTGGTTTGAATGACTTGAATTTGAATGCTGGTTCACATTCACCATCAGACTGAGGTAATTCTAGCCTATCATCATCAGTTGACTCCTCATTTTCATCATCATCATGAGCAACTACTGAAGTTCCAGTACTGGTCCTTCCTGCTGCCCTCTTGGTTCCCTTAGCTATCTTCCTCCCTTTAGCAACACCTTCATCTGTCACATGTTCATCAACATTGTCAACAAAAAGGTCATCATCATCCTCTAAGTCATAATCACTATCATCAAAATCACTGTCATCACTTGAGCTGTCATGTGCATCTTCAGGGCCTTCATCATCTGCTGCCTCATTGTTTCTCTGTCTTGTCTGGCCTTTGGATGGGCTGATCACTCTAGGCAAGGATGCAACAGGGTTTGCAACTACATCATCCCAATCTGAGCCTGATGTAATGGCCTCATGATCAAAATACAATACAAGTGTCTTCACTTTGTGCACAACTAAAGCCATCACTAAAGTGTCTTCTTCTGAAACAATCAGCCTGATGCCATCTGGGAAATCCTTTCCAGGAAGTAACCAAAACACCTTCAATTCTGGATTCCTTGGATAGTGAAGCATGAAACTGAGGTCATGAAAGGTCTGTGGACACAAAGTTTGGGCTTGAACATGATCGATAAAGCTCACTCTCTCATCAATGTATGACCGATTCGTACCATGACCAACAAAGAAACCATTGTGGTGTATCTCAACTGTAAACTGATCACTAATTCCACCTACATGAACAACAACAGAACATATTCAGGCATCCATCCATCTAATTCGACCTAGAACAACCAAGTCAGAAACCCTAGTCTAGGCAAAAAAGCTTCTATATGACCCCATCCATGAATCATTCTCAACAAATCAGCGATAAACACTATGAAACACAACCAAGATTGGACCTTGGAGGCACTTACTGTAATCAGGGGGTGGCTCCCCTTTCCGCCGCACTCTGGCCTTCATTCTGCACTTCCACCAGGATCGCCGGGGAAGACTGCCCTCGCCACGGGGAGAACGACTTGTCGTCGCCGCACAACACTCCAATCGTGATGCCGATTTCACTCCACGGTCGCCTCTCCTGCTCGCCTGTCTCTTTGCCTCCCGCACGACGAACTCGAGAACAAAACCCTCGGTCAAATGGGGAAAAGGAGGATGCGGCGGGGGCTTTCTGCATATTGGCAAAGAGGATGCGGGCTGGCTGGGTGCATCACGCGCCGCTCACGTGACACAGCTGGGAGGCTCAGTCCACCCTGGACACGCCACATCAGCATAAACCTGCTTATTTGGCAACATGGACCTAGAGTGAACCAAAACTCAAGATTACTGTGCCACAAATGCATTTTCCAAGTTTATGTACCTATCCGGCACCCCTAAACAAGTTTGTGGACCTAGAGTGCATTTAACTCTAATGCTTATTTTCTTATTAGTGCGTGGTCTGAGGTCCCACGAGGCTAAATTTTACTAGTCGGCGACTGTTAAATGAAGAAAATGGTCAGTTACAGCTATCTATGTTCTGATAACATTTTTCATGTCGCCTCTGTTCTGTAAGTAATATTGCTAAACTAAGAGATGGCTCATAGCTCGAGCTCTCTTGAAGAGCATATAACAATTTTTTGCAGGCTTTATGCTTATCTTAAATCCAGAGTTTTAAATACTTGGATGGTCATCACAGAAGGTTTGTTCCGTCTTTAAGAATTATGTTCCATTTGGGGACGGTTTCATATTGTCTCTGTTGTGAAACTCTTTTATTTGTACCATCATTTGCTGGTGCATGTTCTTCAGAATGTCATGACTTGCTGATCTTTTGATATCCTGTAGCGCAAGTCCATGCTGTGCATTGCTTCCGGAATATGTTCTCTTTATATCATGTCTTTAAGAGAGAGGTAAAGAGAAAATCGTCTTTCTTCGGGACACAGCATAACTATGGCACTACCCCCTCCTTTACTGTTCTTCATTCCCATACTTGATAGATAGTGATAGAGGTGTCGGGGTTCGCCGCATCAAGCCAGCTGTCCACTTTGCAATGGGCCTCCAGAAACTGAGCATCATCTTTGCCTCCTCTGCCCCTTCATGCAAATGGTCTGGTTGCGAGTTTTCACCTGGGAGCATTCGTTTTCGTGATCCCACAGCACGCTGCAGCAATTTCGGTTCACAAAAGCCAAAGACGCAAATTCAATGGTACGGCCATTTACATCATGTGAAACTTATGGAAAGAAAAGAAAGAAATGAGTCTTTGAAAACAAGCATTGCACTATGACGCAGGTCGCTGAGCTTTATCCGGTGTTTTGGTCGAGGCCTCCTTGGAGAGAGGTTTGTCTGATAGGGTAGGGATGTGGAGCCTTTGAGATTGGCGGTCACACCACTTTCCTGTATATAAATAAACTTTTCTTCCATTCTTATTTGCAAGGCTGAGCTTCTGCTAGAGTTTGTTAAAAACAGAAGTGACAGAGGTAGAGTGAGTATACAGGAACTGTTCACGGAGGCCAGATGCCTTTGGTCTTCACTCTTCAACACCTCCTCCTCAGGATTTCCCCTGAATCCTACATTCTGTTGGCGGTAAAGTGAGTGGGTACGGTACGATTTTCAGATTGTAACTGAATCTATCTATGATCATAACGTTTCCGTGGAACTGTTCTATTGCACTTAAATGTCTTGTGATCAAGTCAGTGTTTTTTATTTTTATCGTGCTCGTCCCTGTTCATAAGATCGTTTTGACCAGGTGAACTGCTGGCTTTATTCAGACTGCTACATTTGTCTGGGAGTAGGGCACTTGTTACCCGCGCAGGAAGATACTGGGTTTTAAATCTACCAGGTTACCAAAAGATGGTAGGATAGAACAAGCATCAATCACAACAAATAAAACTTAGTTGTAATAATAGTGCTAACATGTAACGGCAAATTGGCTCCGATTTGAGCTCTGACCAGCACCAAACCCATTGATGGTGCTGCATTTCTGAAAACTGATGAAACGTACGTTCGTACATCAGATATTATCGTTTCTAAATGGTGAGAATTGGGATGCCTTTCAATTATTGGTACTCTATAGTCTATAATTAAACTATTAGTACAATTGCCATTTGGCTAAAGTAAAATCATGTTACACCATGAATGCAGCATGGACCTCGGTAGTTGTCTCGGATCCTCAAGAGAACCCAAAGCTTTAACCATTTTCTGCTCGGTCATAGGCATTGGACTTGTGCTTCGGTGCAAAGGTAAATCCTTCTGGAACTTTGCCAAGCAACATCTCTGAGATCCTTATCTGCACGCACGGAATAGATGCATCAGTTTTCCAGCCATGTCCTTAGTATTCATACAACATTCTGAACAACGAAGGGAGTGCCTACCCAGTCAGCTGCTGAATCAGAGACCATCAGGGTTTCAAGGTCATCACGCCCATAGTAGCTCGGAGGCCTCCAGTTCAATCGTTGTGGAATGACGTCCAGCAGACCCACCGGAATGTAGCGACAGGTGTAACTAAGCCATTCCAGTAGGAAATGGCGTGTTGTCTCAACTCCTAAAAAAATAGAAAACCGGAAACACATAGATGGTTCAAGAATTGACATTGCACCAAGGGAAAACAACAGACTAATGCTGTATTGCATTCATAATATGTTGTTTACGTTCCACAAGACCCTGAATCTGTCTAATCATCTACAGAGATGGGCTGAGATAACTCACCTTTGGAATCAGAGCCCCAATGTTCCAGACCAAAACGCACAAAATCTTTAAGAATATTTAATCTCTCACCAGATGTAATATCCCAGTGCCTTTGTTCTTTTATCTCAGTAAATAACCAAGGCTGCCCAGGTGTCATGTGTTAGCACAAAATCAATCATGCAAGCATACATAAAATCATGCCAATATAGACATGAATATTCTTTAGCAACAACAGCAAGTCAGTAATAGTAACTATGGCCAAATATGGAGCATATTACAAGCAACACGGTCCTGCAGTTGTGGAAGGAATATGAGATGGTAATCTCATTTATGTTATTTAGCAGGAAGTATTAAATGCCTCGTTCAACCAACTTCAACCCTACTACCTCATGTTGCTAAATTAGGCATTAGGACAGCTTTGGAAAGAGTTTACTGCTATCCATATTTCCTTGCACATGATGTATCAATGTTTTTTTCATGTGTGAATGGTGATGGTGATCAGGCTTTGATCCATGCAATCTTTTAGAGCAATCCACAAAACATTGTGTCAACCCACTTCCCTCTTCTGAATTTTGAAACGCAACTAGACTGGACCTACTATCTCTGTAACCTAGGTCATGGTTCGGGCAAATGGACTACTGCTGTTTTCTAAGTTCTACCCAAGGATAATCCTTTGGCCCTTTGGCTATTTCCATTCTTTCAAATCTCTCTTCACTGCACAACCCTACCTACTGTCACTGGTAGGATTCAAAGCTGGCAGCTTTGTTTGCCTGATGAGTGGACAACTCAAAGGGTTGAAGTGCAGGATACACCCTCTTATTTGCCCAAGCTGGAATATGCACTCTCAAACATATCAGCATGGTTGCAATGATGTAGGAAATTGAATAGCATGAGAAAAGCTCTGGACAACAAGATGGTGCTAAATGCTGATGTTCTAACTTTAGGAAGAGCAGAATGCTAAACGGCAAGGATGAAACATTCATGAACATTTTTCACATTGGAGTGAAAGTCTACGAAATCTGTTTTCTGTTTATAGATGTGATGGTTCTGATTGAAGTTTACTCTTTAGTACTGAAAATCTGCATCTCCATTTGTAACTTCCATTCAGATTATTTCAATGTGAGCTCCCACAAATGTATATGGTGATGGAAAGGAGGTCAGCAAAAGTTGCATCCGAGATATGCAGAAACATGTAAAATGTCAGATGCTAACCTTGATAAGTGCACCTCTAGCAATCATGCAAGTGGAAATTTTGGAGCAGTCTGAAACATGCTTGTTCCAGTCAGTAAAGGAGAATACATCACCATTTCCAATGACATGCAAATAGTCAGGAGCCTTCTGTGCACACTGGTAGATATAGTCCCAATCAGCAAGTTTGCTGTAGCGTTGTTGCCGTGATCGACCATGTATTGTTATGGCTGAAGCACCCCAGTTGTAGATATCTGAAACTATAGAATCAGCACGATTCCTGCCCTCAAAGAAAGCTGTTCTTACCTGAAACCAAGCAACAGGGAGGAACATAAGTACTTCTGCAATTGCTACCTAAAAAATGGTTACATGTGCAGCACCATACCAAAAGATTACATGTCCAGATGCATATAGACAGGCATCTTCCCATCTGTGTGAAATTACAAAAATCTAGCTCTAGTACATTAATTAGCTGATGTTCAGAATTTCATGGCTGCATTACCTTAACAGTTAACGGTTTTTCAGTAACAGTAGATGCTGCTTGTACAATACTCTTAATCCTCATAGGCTTTGTGAGCAATGATGATCCAGCACCCTTGTTGACAACTATATCAATTGGGCAGCCCATATTTATGTCTATATGAAGTCAACTGAACATTCATTATCCACAAGTTCAACTGTCCGTGCTACCGTATCTGGATACGGTCCACAGATTGCACCCCAAACAAATCCTCGATGGATGCCGTCGCAGCAAAGCCCACTCTGAAGCTTGCCCCTACATGAAAATATCATAAGGAAAGACCTCAAACCTCATGAAGAAAATCAAACTGGTAATAACCTATGAACTTTGCTAGCAAATTCAATAGTGCATGTCACAAAATTTTCACTCAGAAAAGGAAAGATAAAACGAAGAAATATCTTGATCTAACCTGCAAAAGATTTGTGCACATAGCCATTTCTCCACAAGTAACATCAGCTCCCAAGGTTTTACAGAGCCTCCGAAAAGGAAGATTCCCGACAGTGGTCAAGGGAGCAAGGTACAGCTTCTCTCGGAAATCTATAATTTTCTTTTCACGTAAATGAGGTGTTGTGATCAGATCAACTTTGCAGGAACTTTGGTTATTTGAGGAAATTTTTACTCCATTGATTAAATTAACAACTTCAGATTCAGCCTCATTGTCATGAATACCTAATCCATGATATAGTAAAAAGGGTTAAAAAGATCTAAGAAATAGGAAATAATAAAAATAAGCAACAGGGGAATGTTAAACAATATCTGAGTTCAGAAGCAAATTACCAGTTCCATGGCCCTGAGTTTCATCAACTTCAACCTTTGATTTCTTTGATGGCCTTGGCTCCACAGATTCAACTGAGTTAACAACCAAAGGTTTTCCCTCTGAATTATCTATTTCTTTGCACGTGGGATCAGGTTCAACATTCACAGGAATGCTAGAGAGAGATGTTTTGTCATCACCATTCAGCTCACATGTTTCATCTGGATTATCATCATTTGCTGCTTCTGTTTTATTCTTGTTTCCATCCTGTGTCATAAATGTGCCAAAAGACTAGGAACTTGACAAAACATGTCATATAGCCAAGAGTAGATTCTAAACAAACTTGGCCCGCCATATAAAAACTAACAGAACTATGATAACTATAATGGGCTAAGTGTTGTAAAAAAAAATCTAGAGGATCTTATAACTATATTGGGCAGTTGGGCACATCTTAGAACACATTTCATTTCTTTTCCCAACCGTCCCTAGCCTTGCAAACAAGCAGAGGTTGGGCAACACAAATCTTTTCATTAGGAAGAAAGACAATTTGCCATCCCTTAAAAGAAAGGAAACCCATGCCGTCATACCTAATTTTAATCCAAACATATATGTGTCCACTAATGTCACAAGGCAAGGGAGGGCAGAGAAAATGTGCCCTTGACAACCAACAAATGAATCTGATGTCTAGAATTAAGAAGGAAAATGTCCAAAATACTACCCTCAAGCATGGCCAATGTCTAGATAACCCCCTAAACTATCGTTTGGTTTGGTTTATTCCCCTTAATTATTTCAGTTGGTCCAATTTACCCCTCAACAAGATTTGTCTTTTTTGTTTCTCCACATTCAAGTTGATTTTCAATTCCAAATTTTATGAGGGGATAGCTAGCACCATAATTTATGTTTAAAAAGATGTCATAAATCAGTATCATTATTTTGACAGGTTAGGACATATAGTAATAAATTAACACTATAATACAAAAATGTATTAAACATAATGACATAAAATTCATAATGTATTTTTAAAAATAATTTATGGTGTCCACTATCACCGCACAAATTTCGAAATTAAAATTCAACCTGTATGTAGAGAAATGAAAAAGACAAATCTTGTTAAGGGGTAAATTGGACCAACTAAAATAGTTAAGGGGAGTAAACTGAACCAAACATTAGTTTTGGAGGATATCTGGACATAAGCGATACTTGGAGGTAGTAATTTGGACTTTTCCCAATTAAGAATACAATATTTCAATTTCGGGCAATCATATTAGTTTGCTGCATGCCATTGATATATTCAATTTTGAAGGAAGGCACTACACTTTTGGCAGATGCTTAGCACCAACACATGTATTATATGTACCCATGATCAAAGTAACTTGCAACCTTTTAAGAAGCAAACTGAACACAATGAGAATAAACGCATAGGAAGGTTACTTTATTGTAGAAAATCAAGAGATACAAGAAAAAGGAAAATTGGGAGATCAGAGATACGGCTAGACATTGGTAAAAGTTAACTATATACCTTAAGACCAAGAAGTTTGATCTGGGCACTGGCCTTGGGAAATTTATATTTGCTCTTCCATAAGAGCTTTTGAATTTTTTTGCTCAAAGGATTTCTCTCTTGGTTTCCCTCTGGATGATTTTGAGGAGCAACGGTATCCTTATGTGTACTAAGGAATCGACAAGTTATTCCATATGGACACAACTGTCCCAGTGAGGTAAATGGGCATGTGCCTTCAAGGTCAGCTGGTTTCTGCACACAAAAAGGCAATTTAGGATTAAATAAGTTATAAAGCTCACTAACCATTTATATAGGCAAATAAAACAATACCTAAGACAAATAAGCATTTATGTCATGGCTGAAACGACAAGAGGTACCGTATTTGCATGAGTCCACATTTCCACTTTTCCCTACTTCGATACAAAGATGAGAAGTAGACTTTTGTTCCTGTGCAATATAATAAGTCAGTGGAGGACATAATTGCCCAAATTAAGTTGAGAGGTAATGGGATATCATTGGTGGTACAATGAGAAACAAAAGCTACCAGCCTACCACCAACATGAGCTGTCTATAAGCATGCGAAAGATGGTACCCCATGAGTATAAAGATGCACTATAAACTATAAAGCATGCAGGTAGTTATTATCGTAAAGCAATCATGTTGCCGAGAGAAACAGTTCTGAAATTATACTTCACAGGGTATCTAATGATATTAATTTGACGTCATAAATATTTGTGCACGTATCTATGAATTCGGTGAAACTGTAGATTGTTTGACTTAGAGAGTTAGAGTAATTCTAGAAGTTGAATTATTTTGGGACGGAGGGAGTACTCAACATATATGAGCCCCAAATAATATCTCAGCATTTTTATAAGTGTCAGAAGAAATGGAGAAGTACAATGTCACTCCCAAGTTCAACCTTAGGATTAGGATATAAAATTCCTGACTAACCAACAGAAATAATGATTAAGGAAAATATTCCAGATTACTAAATCGAGCAATAACTGGGTGTGGAGGTCAAATATAGATCTTGCAAACAAAAACACTGGTATTCACTTTTCAACAGGCTATGCTTTGACAAAATTTATAATAAATAGCACTCACATAACCATAAGAAACCTTGGAATGCCACATGATCTAGCTACAAGTTGGCCCACGCTTAGATTGAATCAGGAGCCCAGAAGTTTGTTTTTTCGCCTAACGGATTAAAGGATAAATCGAACTACAGGTTGCTAAAACCTACTATGCAACAACTATGGCATTGCTCATTTTCTGCACACATTTACTACAGCTGAGAGCTCATTAATCTGGTAACATTTTGATACACATACACAGACACACAAGCCGCAGAAATCGGCACGAGTTTTTAGGAACAAGTTACAGCACGACGTAAATAGCGCCGAAAAGTGAAACAATCGCACTGATCCGCAGATACATTTCAACAAGCACCTGGCAAGCAGAGCCCAATGACACGCCGAGGCAGCAGTAGAGCAAGCACCCTGCGCCGCGGTACCGCGGTAGTTACCTGGTGGCGCTCGCGCTTGAGCTGGCGCTTGGACACCTTTACGACGGCCCCGCCGCCGCCCTCCTCCTTGGGTGCCTCGCGGACGGGAGGCGGGCGGAGGAAGGCGGGCTTCACGGGGGCGACGGCGCGGGCTACCAGCTCCGCCGGGGTGGGACGAGCAGGAGTGGGAGCATCGGCTGTGACCGCAGGCAAGGCATCCGGTGGGTCGGTGGCCGGCGCGGTCGCGGCCATGGTGGAGGCGTGGCGGCGGCGCACCGAGGCGGGCCACGGGATACAGGTAGCAACGAGGGTTTTATGTAACGGGAACTTTTGCAGTACACCCCATAATGGAGGCTCAATTTTACTGATAAGTTTACTCCTTTTGATGGAGTGTTTTTATTGAAATTAGAGTTATATATACTGATAATAAATTGATAGGAAATATTTTTTCCCAGCCATAAGAGTAATTCCAAACGACTGTTTATATATCCCTCCTAAACGGTAGGAATAGAGATTTTGGTAAAAAAAAATAATCTCTAACAACTTCTTTAATTAGGTCTCCTAATATAGTCATCCGTTATTCCGTGTTTCTCGCTAGTAAAAAATGGGGAGCGAGAATGGTTCTATATAGTGCGCACAAGATATAGAAAAAATATTGGAGAGTGAAAGATATAAAGAGCGATTTTTATTTAAATGGCTCTCCAAATGATGATTTAGAGAGTAAGTTTAAGAGAGACTCTCGGAGATTACCTTATTATATTATAAGTTCAAGGCTGCAAATAAACCAAGCTCGAGCAAGCTTGTCTTCTCAAGTTTGAGCTTGTCAGAGGATTGAGTCGAACTCGATCCGAGCCTAGAGTTAGGCTCAAACTTGGCTGGTTAATCATTTGAGCCATCTTGAGTTGGGCTTAAGGCGAGCAAAATATGAACAATCACGAGTATTATTTGACTTTTTATCTACCTCTGTTCTAAAAAGGAATGCCATTCTTAATTTTCGGTGAGTCAATAAATACTAGGGCCCGTCTGGATCCTTAGAATTGAATTCATTCTAATAATTACAATTTAGCCATAGATTAATTAAGTTAATGTAGTTGTATATGGAATATTTGTATATTTATTGTTAGACATACAAGGGACATATTTATATATTGCATTTCAATTATAGGGAAGTGAGTTGAAGAGTGTGCTATAAGTTGGAGAATAGAATTATAGCATAGTGATCTATAGAATCCATTTTTATCTCCCACTCTATTAATTTGAGATAGGCTTATTTGTGAGTTTGGGAATGCTATGGAATGTCAAATTTCAAGCCAAATAGCCTAATCCATTATGTAGATTTCAATTCCTCCAAAATAAAGGGATCCAAATGGTCTCTTAAAGTTAACTAGATACATACAAACATGATACTTTTAATGTGTAATAAGTATATCATTAGATGAAATATGGAGTATATTTTTATAATAAATATATCTAGAGATAAAAATATTGATAATATTTTTGATAAACCTAGTCAACTTAAAGAAAATTTGAGTTAGTTTAAACCTAGAATGATATTTCTTTTTGGAACAGAGGCAGTAGGATTTGAAAAATATAGTCAGTAAAGTTCTAGTTTGCTGCTGCTACAGATTGAATCATCAATTTGTTTTCTCTGCTTTATTTTGAGTGAAAAATCTGAAGTCAAAATCTCATTGACCGGTAGAACTGGTTCTTGCAGCTCCATAGGATCATTGTACAGTTTATACTATGAACGATAACACATATTCACAGTAGCAGTTCTCCAGTTCATACAAGCAACATGTTCATACTAGTTTACCATTTCATAGAAGCATCTAGTTCATACTAGTTCATACTCACGGCAGCAGATTGCACTCAGCAACATCAGTTCACACTAGCAAGTGTTGGGCGTAGTTATTCACTCAAACATCAAGAATAAAGTGAACTCAATTGTGTATTCATTTTCATATATGAATACATGTCAGAGGGGGTATTTATAGAGGTCCTAATCTCGTAATTTCTATATACTTGACTATAATACCCCTACTCTGAATGAATACAACCCCGTCAATTGTCAGGGGCAATCTGGTCATTACATTTTCTACTCCATATTCCTTCTATCCTGAAACGATCTTGAAGTTCATCATTGATAGTTTGTCTTCGCCTTGTGAACAAAATGATTTCGTCTTGTTCTTTATTAACTTCACCTGATGGCGAAGTGTGCTTGATGGCTTCGCCCCTTCCTGTTTTTGGCAATATGGACTATTCGCCACACCGTCTATCTTCTCTTTATTTGGGCGAAGTAACAAAGACGTCTTCGCCCCTCTTTCCTGTATGCCAATACTAAGAAGAAAGTTATTAACTAATTCCGAAGCTCTCGGGTGAGTTTACCTGAGGTCAAATCCCCAACAGCAAGAAATGAGTTCACACTTGAGAAAAATGTACAGACTGCTAAGTCTAAACTCAAGCAACTGGTCTATAATCAAAGAACCATATAATTGGTCTGCACTTTCACAGAACAACGGCGACAGGTCTCATAGTTACAGAGTGTCATGACCAACATTACAGGTATCATGACCTGAGACATGATCACAACAACAGCTTGCTAGATAGGTAACATGTTCCACATATTGATCTTCTACTTCTCCAGGTAGTCATAACTGCAAGAAACAAGATCATCTGAGATCTTAGCTAATTAACAGCAACCAGCTATCACGCATATAACATCAAAACAGGGAAGGCATCATCCACAAAATGACACTGACCCAAAATGTTCAAACTTATATGCTTAATGCTTTCATTCAGGAAACATGAAGGGAAAGAGTATACATACTTATATGCTTTCAGGAAAAAGCATCTTCTTGGGTCATACTTGACAGAGACAGTGTTGTGAGATTATAAGTATTCCATCAAAATTTACTTCAAAGTGAAATTTTAGTCTGTCATTTCCTTGCTAACATCAGTGAAATTTTAGTCTCTGAAATTTTAGCATTGAGCATGATTCACACTGGCGAAACTCACAGGAGCTGTACTCTCTTCCAAGGTACTACTTAATTATTGCATCATATAACATTGCATATGATTTATTAGAACATGCAGGAGGTGAGCTTTCCAAAGCAGTTACGAGTTGTAACGTGCAACTGTTTCAGAATATATGTGATTGCCTCAGAAACATGAGAAAGATAACAACTACATACAGTAGAACAATTTGGTACTATCATCGACACTGAAGCAAGGACATCCCCTTGTATTTGAAAGAGTAGAAGCAAGACTGCAAGAGAGCAAGTTCTGCTACTATATTTAGCAGAAACTATCAGAAGAGAGTAAAGGGCACAATCGAATTGCAAAATATCACTTTTTTGAACAAAATTATACAGCAAGGAAATCAATACAAACAAATTAGTATGAGTTGCAAAAGAGCTTTTAGGTAGGTGATGACAGGTGGCAGTAGCAGCACAGATTAAACATACAGGAAACAACTATTGGAGAAGGAAAAATTAATTACCCATGAAAACACATCTTCTTCAGAGCTTGATGACTTGATGATGGGCTCACTGGAATCTTGCTGCGGACAGTCCAATGCTGCTCAATAGGGGTATCTCCTCCTTTTCAATCAAATGCAGCACCTTCTCTATATAATCAAGATCCTTCAAACTTGGCTTTGCTACGGTTCCTGTGCAGAAGCAGTTTCTAGAAACCCACTGCTGCCCACCACAATCAAAGCCCAGTATTTCATCACTCCAGCCCATGCGATACCCTTCAGACTTCTTCCAATACTCAACTTCTGCTTTATTGATTTTCATCACATGATCTTTATCCAGAGTGTAAGATTGGTGTATAATGCGCGGATATATTGCTTGAGCCCCTTGGGCTGATTATATAGGAGCACATGGCTTGGAGGGCAAGTAGCCTCTCCTAGAGATAAGGAAGGTTATCCCAGGATTACAATCAATCCTAATCTAACCATATCCGGAGTTACCTAATATACTCTAACATCCCCCCGCAGTCACAACGGGAGCGCGTAGACGATGAGACTCGAGAATAAGCCGAAGAGATGACATCCCCCCGCAGTCGCAACCGTCGATGTGCCGCATATATGTTGTGGCTGGAATGGGAGCCGAAGAGGCTTGTCAAGCAGATGGTAGCCCCTTAGTGCCGAAGTAGCCGAGGTCGAGGTGGACGTGATCGAAGCCGTGGAGGAGGGCGCGGGTCCGAAGCGTCAGCGAAGGCGCCCGAATACACAAAATCAGCAGCTTCTTGCCGACAGGGTCAGCAGGATGATAGGCCGACTGCGATGGTAGATGGTGCAGCTAAAGAGCGCAACTGCATCTTCCTTCAACAATATCGGCGGCGGTGTCCGCGAGCGTGCGGCAATAGGCGCGGACTCGGACCGAGAGCCAGCGTGACGAGGACCAGCAGTATGGGTGGCGCCACCGCCTGAAAAAAGCGGCATCATCGCCGGCGAGATGGCTGGATCATGAGCGTTGCTGCGCAGCGACTGAAGAACTGCGACAACCTCGTCTTCGGGAGTGTCGAGGATGAAGCGATGACGAAGCGGCGAGGCGACATAACCCGATCTCGATCGGGAAAAAAAAAAAAGCAAAGCAAGAAGACAAACCTTGGGGTACAATCTCGGATGCCCCTAGCAGTGCCCCATCCCCTCCCTTATCTCTTCCCAGGTCAACACGGACAAAGGGGAATAGAAATCAGGGACAAGAGGAACCGGCCGTCCGGTGGCGGCAGCGAGGTAGCGAGATGGGGCGAAAGCCCCACGGCACCTGCAACAACCCGCCAGCGTGGCGGAGAGCAGCGCGATGGAGGGGCTGGACCGGCGAGGAGGGGCGTTGCGCGGCCGTCGGACGCCTGATGGCGCTGGCGGGCGGTCGGCTCGGCGCCCTCACGGTTCTCGCGGCCTTTTCGCGCTCAAGTGCGCAGAGATTGTGCTCAAGGGCAGCGGTGGTGGCGGCGTTGGAGGAGTAGATGGGGCGCAAGGCGGCACGCCGATCGACCATTTAAGACGGCGGCTTTTCGCGGTGGATCCTGGCAGCGATGGGAGAGGTAGGTCCTGCTGTTGTTGGTTGACCACGACGGTGCAGCGGATCAGAAGGATCAGTCGCGCATCCTACGAGGGCGCTGCCCCCGGTGGAGATCGATCTCCCCGGGGGCGGCGCGAGGGCAGCGGAAGCCGAAAGCCTAGGGTTAGAACCTAGACTCGTGATACCATGTAAGATTGGTGTATAATACGTGGATATATTGTT